GTTCTAGGAGTTACGCGCTTTGATGCCTGGTAAGAATGATCATGCCTGACTTCACAGGTCTTCAGACGTGGAAAAAGAAACACTCTCTGATTTAAAATTTTATTATAAATATATTGCCCACTGTGACTTCTATTGTTTTATATATTTTTTTCCTATGGCTAAAGTATTATCATTCCTCCATATGTTCAAATTGCATTTGAATTTAATACAAATTAAATGCCCTTAGTAGTATTTTTTTTAAAAAAAATTATAAAGCTCATAGTATCTGCTTAATTTAGCTTCCTGCTTTTATCTCTGTCCCATCAGTCTCCTTATAGAATCACTACAGAAATGTCAGAAGTGGGAAAAAATATAAACCCAGGGAGGGGGTGCACAGATCATTTTATGGTATGTAAGACAAAAAAATGCAATATATATCCAAAATGATACCTTGTTAAATAAATGTCAATGTTCAGTTCATCTGGAAGTAGCCCTGCAAATCAACTTCTCTTCCACAAACCACACATTTCCATCTTTTTCTTTTTAAAATACATGCCACACAAAGAGTAAAGGGTGTGTAAGTCAAAGGCCCACAGCTCGAGGGGTTTTTGCCTATAGACACTCAGGGGAAACCATCCCCTGGGTTCAGACTCCGAGCCTGGTGACAGCCGGGAAGTCCATCCCGCAGCCCACACCCACATGGCAATGGCTGTCCTGCCCATCCCTGCAGTTAGTGGCCTCTGTCCCTGAAAACCAAGCTGACTTTTAAGATGTGATTTTACTAATTTAATCTCTAAAGAAGAAATTACAGACTATTGATGTTTTGGGGGAAAATGACACATCCATTCATATATACATACATACATATATATATAATTTTTTCTTTGCAGTATATACAGATAGATTTCATACATATATATATAGAGAGAGACAGAGAGAGAAGCAACTAGAAAATGCTAATTATGATTCCTTACTTAGATCAGGTCTAGAGTAGGTGGAAACAGGAGTTAAACATGTCAAACTATCTGAGTGAAGGGGGAAACAGCCACCACCCAGAAACCTCTGAGAGCGGCTGACACCCAGCTAAAGTAAGCGCTCAAGGAACGTGGAAGCCTGCTCCGCCCTGTCCTCTCGCGCAAGCTGAGCACTGACCGTGCAGGGCGGGGGAGTGGGACTGCGCTTCAACTGGGAGTTTGCTCGAAAGCAGTTCCGCCGGACCAGACCGCACCCACACCCTCATGCACACCCGCACCCACGCACACCCACACCACCACACACCCAACCACACCATACCCACACCATACACATGCACACAACACACCCCCACACTCAGCACACACTACCCACTACACCACACCCAACCATACCTCATGCACCCAAACCACACCCAACCCACACCCTCATGCACACCCACACACACACACACCCACACCATACCCTCATGCACACCCAAACCCACACCCACACCCACACCCTCATGCAACCCACCACCCACACACGCACCATACCCCATGCCAAACCCAAACACCAACCAAACCTCATGCACACCACACCAACTACACCCACCCATACATGACACCCAAACCCACACACATCCAACCTCATGCACCACACAACACCACACCATACCCTCATGCACACCCATACCCTCATGCACACCCACACCCTCATGCACACCCACACACACACACACCCACACCATAACTCAGCACCAACCACACCTCCACCAACCCTATCACATGCCGCACCACACAACCCACGACCACATCACACACCCACACCCATACCCTCATGCACACCAAACCAACCTCATGCACACCCACACAACACCCACACCACACCCATGCACACCCATACCCGCATCCTAAATGCACACCAACCCGCATCCCATGCACACCCAACCCAAACACACCAACACCCTCATGCATACCTAACCACACACACACCCCACCACCCGCATCCTCATCACCACACCACACCCGCATGCAACCAACACACCCTCTGAACCCGACAACCCACATCTCATGCACACACACCACACCCACACCACCCCACACACATCCATGCACACCACGCCCGCTCCCATGCCACACCCACACCCACACCCTCATGCACACCCACACCCACACCCTCATGCACACCCACACCACACACACACCAACCCACCACCACACCTCTGCCACACCCATACCGACATCCTCATGCACAGCCACACCACACCCACATACACACCCACACAACATCACACCCACACCACACCCACTCGATGCACACCCACACCCACACCCTCATGCACACCCACACCCACACCCTCATCGCACACCCACACCTCATGCACACCCACACCCTCATGCACACCCACACCCACACTCCTCATGCACACCCACACCCACACCCTCATGCACACCCACACCCACACCCTCATGCATACCTGCACCCACACACACACCCACACCACCACACACATGCAACCACCGCACTCACACACACCACACCACACCACACGCACACTCATGCACACCCACACCACACATGCAACACTCCACCACACAGCACACCACACCCACACCCACATCCTCATGCACACCACACCCACACCCTCATGCACACCCACACCCACAACACACACCCACACCACACACATCCTCATGCAACCACACAATCAAACAACCACCACAGACTCATGCCACCACCACCCACCACCCTCATCACAGCACACCCACACCCTCATGCACACCCACGACCCACACCCCTATGCAACCCACACGACATCCTCATCACACCACACCACAAACACACACAACACCACCACACCATTCAGCACACCCCATGCAACCCACACCACACCTCATCACACCCACACCCACATGCACACCCACACACACTCACACCCACCACACCCATACCCTCATGCACACCCCACCCCCCCAGCACACCCACACCTCACCTCTATGCACACCACACCCACACCCTCATACACACACCCACATCCTCATGCACACCCACAACACTACCCACACACACACCCACACACACACCCACACCCTCATGCCACACCCACACCCACACCCTCATGCACACCCACACCCACACCCTCATCGCCACACCCCTCCTCATGCACACCCACACCACACACACACCCACACCCAATCCTCATGCAGCACCCACCGATCCACACCCACACCACACCACACCACCCACACACACCACCCACACCCACACCTCATGCAACACCCACACCCCACACAGCAACCTCATGCTAACACCACACCCACACCTCTCAGCACCACCACGACCTTTTTTTTTTTTTTTTTTTGCCATCCTCATCACACCCACACCACACCTCATGCACCCACACCTCATGACCACCCACATGCCACACCCACACTCAATGCACACCCACACCACACACACGCCTCATGCACACCACACCACACCCACACCTCATGCACACCCACCCCTCATGCCCCAACCACGACGCTCATGGCAACCCACACCACACTCATCCGCACACCCACACCACATCCTCAGCACACCCACACCCACTCCATGCACACCCACACCCACACCCTCATGCACACCCACACCCACACCCACACCCACACCCATCCTCATGCACACCCACACCCACACCCTCATGCACACCACGACCCACACCCCAGCACACTCACACCCACACCTATGCACACCCACACCACTCATGCCACACGCATACCACATCTCTCATGCACACCCACACCCACATCTCATCACACCACACCACACCACATTGCACACCATTACAATCACACCCACACCCTCATGCAACACCACAGGTCCGCACACCCTATGCACACCCACACCCACATCCTCATGCACACCCACACCCACACCCTCATGCACACCCACACCACCCACACAACACCACACGCCATCCTCATGCACACCAACCACCCACACCCTCATTGCACGACGCCACACCCACACCCTCATGCACACCCCACACCCACACCCTCATGCACACCCACATCTATGCACACCCACACTCTCATGCACACCACACCAACACCCTCAGCACACCCACACCCACACCCTTCTGCAACCACACCACACCCTCATGCACACCCACACCCACACACCCACACCCACATCTCATGCACACCACTACCACACCTCCATGCAACCACACCCACACCCTCATGCACACCACCCAACCCTCATGCACCACCACACACCCACAACCACACACCACCACACCCAACCACACCACCACCCACACACCGACCCACACACGCACACCCACAACACCCACACACACGCACACCACACACCCACAACACAGGTGCACCCCACACCCACGCACACCCACACACGCGCACCACCCACACGCACACCCACACACACACACACTCACACCCACACCCACACACCCCACCACTACCCACCACACCCACATGCACACCCACACCACACGCACACCCACACACACCCACACCCACACACATGCACTCACACCCGACCCACACGCACACCACACCACACCAACGCACGTAACGCAACTCACTACTCATGCGCACACCCACACCCACACCCACACCACACCACACACACACACATCACCCACACACCACACCCACACCACACCAATGCACTCACACCCCTAACCCACACGCACCCCACACCCACACCCAACGCAACCGCACACTCAATAGCATCATGCAACACCACACCCACACCACACACGCACACCCCACACAACGCACGCACATCCAACCCACACCCACACCCACAGGCACATCCACACCCACACCCACACGCACACGCACACCCACACCCACAGGCACATCCACACCACACCCAACGCACACGCACACTCACACCCTCATGCACACCCACACCCACACCCACACGCACACCCCACCCACGCACCACACCCACCACCCACCACATCCACCACCCGCACACCCACAGGCCACATACACACCCACACCCACACGCACACGCACACCCACACCCACAGGCACATCCACACCCACACCCACCGTGGCAGGACGGCAGCGTGTGGTCCCAGGAGGGCTTCCCATCCACAGACTCCGATCACACAGGTGATAGACGAGGTCGCCACTTGTACCGAGTCAAACTTGGTAAGTGAACAGTGGAAGACCACAGTTTGAAGTCGGTCCCGATTCTCGTCCCGTTCATTATATTCCCAGGGTCAAAGCACGCTTCCCGAGGCTTCTCTGCAGGAGAAAGGAAGGGAGACTCCGTGAGAGCAGCATCTTTTCTTTCCGCTTTTGTTCTTTGCTTGTGCTATTTGGGGCCTAGAACAGCACTCAGCATGTGAGAAATGCCCCCCCAAAATACTTACTGATTGGCTAATGGTCAAGGTAAAGTATTAATTAAATAAAAATATAAACATTCATCTCTTTAGTAAAATTATATTTGTTTTTATATTCCCACTTATATTTGTTTTATATTCCCCCACATATTTTATATGTGTATGTGTGTGTGTAAAACCACATTTGACTATAGAAATTGATATTGAATTTCTTTCATCTAGGTAAAAGAAAAATACAGTACTGCATTTTTTATACATTCATATATGGCTACAGATTTTAGTACTGAACCAAAGAAATTGATTCTGGAAAAATTAACATTCATTTCTAACTTTTTAATTTAAATCGTATTAACATGCAATCACTGCATACATGGAGGGAAAGATCTGGCTTCTCAAAAGGAAAATGGTTCAATGCATGGAGGTCAAGGGCTTTTCCTTATGCTGATGACAGCAGACAGGAGAAGACAGATATGGGAGGTGCTTTGACTCTTCCATTCCCTGTGTGCTGTTAGTCTTTTGTTTTTTTTGCCAGACAATAAATCATATTTTTATTCCTTTCATAGTTACCCTTAAAATGCTAACATGCATGCATTATGAACTTGAAATATGAAATTAAACATATTTCTACTGTCCCCCCACCTCACATGTGGTTTGCTGTCAGTCTTAGTAGCGTGAATCACAAACTCAGCAGGAGAAATGCATTTAGCGATTGATGAGAGTCAAACTTTGTGCCTGGCATGAAATGATGACCCAGGAGTTGCATCTTACTTACAATAATTGATGAAATGCATTGAGGGCGTACTGTGTACCAAGCACTGAGATAACTGAGGTAACTCTATGGTTAACTCTAATCTTCGCTGCCGTCCATGGGGTCAGAATTATGAGCTACGTGACTTCCACAAAGACCCCTGTAGAGACCTGCCCAAACCTAAATAAGACCTTCCCTTTTGACTGCGCAAAATATCTATTCTTGCCAAACACAAAACTTTCTTTTTTTGCTCACTCCTGTTATTCTGGAATCAATTCAGTTATCTTCTGGTAGCTTTAATATTTTTATTTCTCTATTTCAGCAGATCATCTAAAATGTCTCTAAATGAAAAAGTATGTAACCTCACACTTAGGTGTAGGTAATATATAATAGAAGAATGGAAAAAAGAAAAAAAAGAAAAAAACACCAAACCAAACCACCAATTTTTGGGAAGCCCTATGGGAAGAAAAAGAGTCCTGTTTTAACTGTTTATTCAGTATTTTCAATTATAGTGTTAATAGTCTATGAATCCACATCAGCCAAACAGGGATGTCTTTGGCAAGTCTATTATAATTTATTATATTTAATAATTATATTTCATTTATATACTTTGGTCAATATGTGTGTGTGTGTGTGTGTGTGTGTGTGTGTGTGTGTGTGTGTGCAAACCAGGCGTCCTCAAACTACGGCCCGCAGGCCGCATGCGGGTGTTTTTGGCTGTTTGTTTTTTTACTTCAAAATAAGATAGGTGCAGTGTGCATAGGAATTTGTTCATAGTTTTTTAAAAACTATAGTCTGGCCCTCCAACCGTCTGAGGGACAGTGAACTGGCCCCTGTTTAAAAAGTTTGAGGACCCCTGGTGTAAACCTTCTCAAAGGGCCTCTATTCTCTTGTCAGAGTCCCTCAGCAAGTATCGTTCCGTGCCTTGGGGCCAGTCCTCTATAACTGTTTTATTGAAGACCTATTTGGACGTTTCAAATGGCAGTTGAAATGGCAGTTGACAATTCTTTGCAGCTGCTTTAAATCCCACATAGAACCCAGACGCTACTTTAAGTACATACAGAACCAATAAACAAAGCTGCAGGCACTATGAAAGCTGCTGCACTTTGCTGTAGTTTATCCAGTCATTCAACCAAATGTCCTGATCATCTAGGGAAAACAAGCATGTGTCTCAGTCATATGATTTTCTCCTAAAAAATTAAAATTTCCCCAGTATACGTCTGTTGCCTCCTCACTTTTTGGATCATTTTTTATTATAAATCTCTTTTAGTTCAGTTTCCTGTTTAGTTAAATATCACTTAAAGTAACTCTATGCTACTAATTTTGATTTCCGATGAAAGGATTTTCTGCAAGTGAACTGCATCTAACCCTTCGGTTCCATTTACCTAGTTGTCAGGTCAGGACATGTGGCGATTAATCACCAGCACTTTTTCTTCTGCTTACGATGTGCCGGGCTTTCTAATTAGATGACTTCGTAACAGTGTGTTTTGCTTTTGTTTTTGTCCATTCCACTTGGGAACACCCTCGAGTGTCCCTGCATCCGGGCGGGACAGACAGACTCTGCCAGGTCCCTGGGTGGCTGGGCAGCTCCACTGTCCACTCAAAACTGGGGCTGCCCTGCGCCCCTGGCCACTCAAGAGCTCGTTGCATGCTCCACGTAATTGCATTGTTCCCGCGGGTTTTTCTTTTCCCGCAGGCTCTACTGGAGAACTCTGAAAACATTAGGAACTACAGCCTCCATCTAGATGGCCATGTTGTTTACCAAGGCACCCAGGCAACAAGAGGCAGTCCTTTCTCCAACTGCCTCATAAGGAACATCATGCACCATTTATTCCCTGACCCATGGGTGCAGCCATTTCAGAATGCTGGGAGAACACGGGGCACCCCAGTAGAGGATGGTCAGTGAAGATGAAGGTCTGTTCCATTTGTTTGTCTGTCTTTTTGTTTTGTTTTGTTTTTGGCTGTCACAGACCAGGCACCGTCATGGCGAAACGCATCTTGTCAACACTGAAAGAGTCCGGTCACGCGGCAAGCGCTCAGAAGCGCTGGTTCCAATTGCTCATGGACACGGCAGGCCCTGTCCCAAAGGCACAGGACGCTGCTCTGCTGAATCGCATGATACTTTTAATTGGACATTTTAAGAAAGACCCATATGTTTGTGATGTTGATATTTTGGGGAAAACAGATCAATTTTCTACTTAAAACCATGTAAATGAAGACAGGTCTGTTAATGAGTTAACAGAGATAAAATGCTACATTTTCATTTAAAATTCCATTTATAAGTTGAACTCAAAAGTTTAAATAAATATTTTCATTATTTTTTTTAAAAAAACCCTCGTTACTATGAATTGATATTTTGTTATCTTCTCTAATTCTTTGTTTGTTTTTTGTTGTTATTCATATGAGAAATAGATTTGAAAAAATATATGTATTGTCACAGACCCTACAGCAAAATGCTTAGTTTAGGCTGGCTTTGTTGGGGAGTTTGTCTGTTTCCCTTGGATGTCAATGGCGGGGAACAGCGGACCCCAAACCAAGGGTGAGCCACTGCTCCGCGGACCCCAGGGAAGGCTCTGAGGGAGGATGCATTCTCCATCAAGCAGCCCAGGGCTGGCAGAGACGGAGCAGGGCAATAGAAATGTCTGCGCCAAAGAACGTGTGGAGGAAACGGAGCTATTTTCATGCGCTTACATGTAATCACCCTGAAGAAACAAATTAGATTATATTAAAACACATCTTAAAATAATCTTTAAATATCATCAAATTCTTCATGCCACAAACTATGATTTATTCTTAAATGTCCTTGCCTTTTTCTCATATATATTTGTTTTTTCTTTAAGTCAGGGTAGCATAGAAACATGTCTCTGGAATTTTTTCTCCATGGGAGAGGTGGGAGACTCTTCCCCCGGACAGACAAGATACACGTCAGCATGCATGCATGAAACAGACATGCAAGATTTGCAAAGAAATGCTCACAGTTAAAGCGGCCCTGATAACAATTACTCTCTGCACAAACGCAGCTTATCACGGTACCTTTAAACTCAATGGCGAAGCCCGACAGGCCCACGGACGCATCGCTCCGGAATGCGAGGAAAAGGCTGTTCCCGCTACTCTCTATTCTCTCTGGGGCTTGGGAGCCCTGGAAGCTTCCAATGAGGGGGCTATTGGAATCCTCCCCCTCGTAGATGTGCAGGAAGTCGTAGCTGGGCTCCATGTTGAAACTAAGGGGAGAGAACAGTCATTCCATTATCTGCCCAATAGGCGTTCCCCTTTTCTTCCAGACTGTTAAGCCTTCTGGAACATCACGTGACTTTATTTGCTCTTGTATGAAAAATTTAATAATTAGGGCAATCAAAAGGTTAACCAACATGAGAATCAAAATGTTACAACAGCAATTAATGTGAGAAATATCAACGGTGATAAATGTTATTAGCATTTCACCTAATGACCACATCATATTAGATACAATATTGACCATAGCTGAAAAGAAACAAATCATAAGAGTATAAATATAATATCCCTTCTCTGTACCCATGAATTCAATAATGACATGTAATTTAAAAGAACCGGGCTCAAAAGAGATTAATTACCACTGATAATTTGGTTTTTACATGAATGTTCTTAGTTTCAAAAATATGTACCCTTGGTACTAATGACTATTCTTAAGGTTTTTTTTATAAAAAAGTTATTTTTGTTTCTTTCTTTTTACTTAAAAAAAGCAATGGCCTCTACTTGCTTAGGTAAATGGGCCAATATTAACGGTCCCTGCAGTGGTGTAGCCTGCCAGCTTTCCCAGGTCACTTGCACCATCATCGAATATCCCAGTTTTCTCTCTCTCTCTCCCTCCCTCCTTTCCTCTTTCTCCTGCTTTCTCCATTTTCCCCTGTCTCTTTCTCTCTCCTCCAATACAAACAGAAGGCCAATCCCCAAAGAGTGCAATGATTTAGACCCAAAGCTCTCAGGGCATTGCTCTCTTTGCTGGCTGTGACATGCAGGCTGAGGTCGTCTGAGCCTCACACGTGCACACTCTCGAGGGAAAGACAGAACTTGGCTTGGTCCACAACCTTGCTGTGGTCAGAATAAATCAGTGCATCAGAAGTGTTAAAGTCCTCTGTATGGCCAGCCCCTCTCCTCCTCTCTCATCTTCAGAACAGGCATTTCTGTGTCTCCAATAAGCACTCAATTTATGCAACTCTCACTCTCTTTCGTTTCCCTGGGCAGAAATTCTGGCCAACGAGAGAGCGTTGGGATGTCTTTGCAAGCACCCAAATGCTCTGTGTAGGTGGCCCCAGTTTATCTGGAGATTCAGGTGCTAAAATGGGGACAGAAAGTCCCTCCCGCAGTGGCCTAGTGCATCCTGAAGGAACCCGAAGAGGGGAGGCCACCATCAGCACCGCAGCCAGGCCTGCCGGGCGCTGTCCCACTTTGGGTCAAGGGTCACTGCAGATACTGAATATGCTTATCACCTATTACAGGAAGTTAAATAAGATGACTCAGTCTGTTTATTTGACGAGTTCACTGCAGTCAGAAAGGGAGGAAGAGTAAGAGATTGGAGTAACTAAACACAGAAGGCTAATAGGAATTGCATGGAGCAAGTAGAATTTTATTGGAATAAAAATGTTATTTGGAGTCTTAATATTTTGCAAGGATGTTATTAGACTGGTCATGCTGTATCCCCAGTATTTGGCACAGCTAATCACGGTTATAGATTATTTATTGAACACTGCAAACATAATCAGACATAGAAAACCACACACACACACACACACACACACACACACACACACACACACACAATCTGCTCTCTCTTTCCAGAAGTGACCCAGAATTCATGCATACAAGTCTAGAGTGAAATTTACCATGATTCTGTTCCTCTAGTTTAATGCTGTCTTGTTTCTGGGCTAGCTGTAGCACATGTCTATAAGTCCTAATAATCTGCCAGGTCTGACCAAGCTTTTGAACCAAATGTAATTTGAGTCGCAATTGTGTGTGGGCTTCAGCCTCTCAGCCACAGGGACGCATGGAAAAACAGCTCTCCCCCCACAGGCCCCAGGGACCAGCATGAGGCTCGGGACTCCTGTGTCGTTTGGGTCCTACAGTTCTCTGCCCTTATTGCTAGGGAGGCCACGAGCACCCCAGAATTCAGACGCACTCTCTCACAGCACGCCCTGTGGGTGCCAACCTCCTATTTAGGCAGCTGCATGTCCTTGTCCATAAGCAGGACTCTGGCTCCGGACTCCCACTACCTAGATCTGGTCCCTAAGGTCCCAGGATAACTTCCACCTGAGCAAGGGCAAATCCCAGACCAGAGAAGTCACTGATTTCCACTGGGATGTGAAATTTCTGAGACGTTGAGCCAAGCTGATGGTTCCGTAGAATTTAAGAGTTGGAAGAGACTTAGAGATTATTCCAAACTTCTTCCAGAGAGGTGTGTAAAAGGCAGTGAAGAAACATCTTGCATAAAACTGCCTTATACATGCGTGTTGTCAAATGAGTTGCACTTCAGGGATGTTAATCACTAGTCACCGTAAAACAAGGGAAGGCAGGAAATTCCTGCCAAGGTTCTAAGTTCACCAAAGGGCTTGTAATTGATAATTCACTTTTAATATCCTAGAATTAGAGATGCCTCCTGTTTTTTTGTTTTTTTTTTTTAATAAGGAAGGCACTAGTAGAATTTTTCATTAAAAAAAACCACAAAGAATCCAAAAACACAACCAGCCAATGTTTCACTGGTGTTGTGTTATATAGCTCAGCAGCATTTGGTAAATTTATAGCAGATTTAGTAAATTCAGGAAATGATGGCTTTTAATTTAGTTAAGATTCAGAATCATAGATACTTAAAATTATACTAAGATCTCATCAGCAGGAGAAAGCGGAAGAAGGTAATCACATCCAGGTCTTGAACACTGATGTAAAGATCTCTAGACAAGACAACTTGTTCCACTGACAGATAAATAAATATAATTAAACCAAGAGATTAATAGGACAGTCTATAGAACCATTCCCCTTTAAAAATATCACATTCATTTTGTTCAAAAATCAAATTATAAAGTTGGAAAACATCTTGGGATTCAATAGCATGTAATTATCCTATATCACATACTAATAATGTGATAATATTTAAGAATCTAATTTAATAAAATGACCACAGTATTTGAACTTTTATCATGCAGTTTAGCATATTTTTAGGACTGATATCTAGTAATTCAGACTTTACAGCAACCGAATTTTGGGGAGCTTACAATTTCAGAGCATTATTGAGTCATAACTATGGTAACGATAATAGCATTTCTACTCTTGGGAACATCAGGGTGTGCTATGGAAGTGGATTAGCCACCACACATTTGGAGAAATAGGAGACATTGGCAAGAAATGATACCAAGTGTATCTATATTGTATTTTTATTACTTTTCTGGCATATTCTGCAAATCAAGGCTTCTTGTAGGGAGCACACTGTGTGCAAGATAGACAGTATTGAAAAGTAAGCTATGCGTGTCTACTCTCAAGCATAATGATGTATTTCCATTCATGTCCTTTTGCAACCTGGATTTATCTATTAGATGCACAATCTAGGGTTTGCCTAGATGTAAAATTGGAGACTCAATGAAGTAATAAATGAAGTAGTATTTAGGTAGTGTGAAGTGTGGCATTTAACATCCTACTGATAACAGGTATTCCGGCAAGAGAAGGTACCTTTTGAATATCAAGGCGATGACAAAGTCTGGGTTGACTTTTATCTTCCAGTCACATTCTTTTCCAGGAGGATATGGCTGTGGGTAGTTGGGTGATAAAATAACACCCGCTGGGCCTGTCAGATTCCCGCCACAAGCAGCTGTCACAGAACAGAAGTTATAGAGAAAAAGTTAGGACAGAGAACGCCAGCCAGGCAGTAAACGTGAACTGAGACATCACAGAACTCTTAAAAAAAAAAACAAGTTCATTCATTAGTATTTTGTCCCATCAAAGACACTGTATGTGGAGTTATCAATTATCCAGATAAAATTTTAAGACCCAGGAAGTCTGAACATCTTTCATGTAATTGTTAATGAATTTTATATCATATCCCACCTCATTTTTAGGAAGTGTTTTCGAACTTCTGACAAACAAAATGTTCTTCCTGTAACTAACTTTAAATTTCACCTGAGAAACCGAACAGACTACTTCATTCCCACATCTACCGGCAAGCACTCACACACAGAAAACTTGGACAGAAAAAAATCCCCGTGAATATCACTGTATGGTCACATTAATTCTTTTGCCATTTCTTAAGGTTTACAAAGCCCATGCTTATTTACTCTTGAACACACACTTCACGTGGCACAAAGATCGTCTCCAATTTTTGTTAATTGTTTTATCCCCAATGCCTCAGTAGTTTCTTGATCAGAATAAGTACTCAGGAAATACTTGTTGGATGAACGAATAGATGTCATGTCATGTTCTCACACAACCCCTGCTCGGATTAACGTCCTCACATTTCAAAATGACAAACCACAGAAAGTTTAAGTGACATCTAGTGACACATACTCAATGAGGCTGAGCCCTAAAAGTATTATTTGATCACAATGGTTCCTATATGATTAGAGAGAAGCAGTTTATATGATGATAAATTTAGTTTTTTTATAGTCATCAATATATTAGTAAGGCAGTAATTATAAAGATCAATGTTGTTAATAGGCAAGCCAATTTTTGTACTTGAATCTGAAAGTGTTCAGGATTGTCTCATTTTATTAGATACAATTTCTCTAAAATCTTCCATAACATGGAAGGTTTTAAAACACTGCAAAATTCCTAAATATACACATTTTTAGAAAGGCGCAAAAATATGCTGGGTTTAAAGGTTCTTTATGTCGAATACTATGGTCTGTCACAAAGTGGTTTTCAAGTATCACCCCAATTAAATCAGTGTTTCTCTAAACTATATATCTTATTTTGCATAATTAATTGTATATGTATTTAGGAAAAATAAATAAGTAGAGAAGAAAATGCCCTCATTGGTGATATTTTCCCTCACATATAAAAGAAGACTCTTTTGTAAATAAGATAAAGGAAGATGAAGAAACACACTTTAAAATTTTCCATGATGGATGTGTCTTTAAACACTCATTTGACATTCCTGAAGAGTTAATTTTTCATAATCTGAAATATGACTAACTCCAGTACGTTTTGTCCTAATCTTAAAATCTAATCACGGGCAAACTCTGAGTAATGTCACTGGGAATATTTATAATAAATTCTTACAGATATATATATCAAGAATAATATATTTTTCATGGAAAAAAAAAGATTAAAACCCTATTTTCCCTAGTATGCAGTTTTATTTTAGTAAACCACGTGGAAACAATGGTCTCATCAGCTCTGGCAGGACAATGAACCCCAGATGTGTGGAGCATTACAAGTGTGCACCAATTAGGGAGGTGGTGGATAAAGAAGGTACCTGAAGGTCTAGAAGATTCTACTCCATGCGGTTTCGAAAGATGAAAAATGACAGATTCAGGGCACTGTCTGCGGGGCGCTACCAGCAGGAAGAGTTCAGGGATATGATCCAAATATTGATTTGAAACAAACAAAGGGGATATCTTGTCTTATTCATGCAGGCCCCAGGAGGCACTTTTAAATGAGGCTATTTAAAAGCTTAAAGTGGAATTAAGTAGTACTGTCTTGCCTTGTTTGTCATTCTTTCTTTTGGTGTGGGGCTCTTCCTGTTAGCTTCCTTAGATTTTTTTTTTTTTTTTTTTTTTTTTGAGACAGTCTCACTCTGTTGCCCGGGCTAGAGTGCATGCCGTGGCATCAGCCTAGCTCACAGCAACCTCACACTCCTGGGTTTAAGCAATCCTCCTGCCTCAGCCTCCTGAGTAGCTGGGACTATAGGTATGCACCACCATGCCCAGCTAATTTTTTTCTATATATTTTTAGTTGGCCAATTAATTTCTTTCTATTTTTAGTAGAGACGGGGTCTTGCTCTTGCTCAGGCTGGTTTCGAACTCTGGACTTTGAGCGATCCTCCCACCTCGGCCTCCCAGAGTGTTAGGATTAATTACAGGCATAAGCCACCGTGTCTGGCCTAGTTTCATTAGGTTTTAATTAGGGAGCTTGCTAAATAGTTTGGGTAGGGTTAGAGTTTAGAATTTAGTATAAAACGTAACCCTGAGATGCTAAGAAATTCTCCAAAAGGAACAGGCAGAGAGATAAAATCCACCCACTCCCATCAATCCTCAGTCCCTTACGCCCCACCACACATACAGCAGCCCCTCCCCCACCAGGGTGGGAGCAGCCTCTGCGATGAGACACCTCAGTGCTGCTGCATCGCAGCATTCAAACATCACACCCTTCAGTAAGGGCCTCTCCAAATGGCCGCCCGCAGGTTAGGACGCACTGCCACCACCAAATGAGTTTCAGCAAACTAGGGGAGGGTTTTGCTTCTCAGAGCTCTTTGGAATTTGGACTTGGTGGAAATGGTGATTGCAGGTTACATAAGAAAACAGAGACTTCTGAGAGACACTGGCTGGAATTAGAGACTTAATCCTTTAAGACTCAGCCGGAAACCAAAAGGAGGAGACTCCGTGATAGAAGTCATTTGGGAAGCGTGAAAAAGTGAGGCGGAACACAGGGAAACCCGACAGCAAGTGGCAAGCTCCTGAAAATGTCTCCCACATGCAACAGGGGAGAGGCTAAGAGATGGTATAGAAGAGAGACAGAGAACAGCTGGGAATAGGGAGCATGAACTGACAATGCAAAAAGACCGAGCAGGTCAATTGTGAGAGAACAAATTCAAAGGGCCAAAAAGCATATGAAAAGAGAAAAAAAGTTCAACCTCATTATTAATTTGAGATGCCAATTAAAACAGAGAATCATCTCTTTCTGCCCATATTCAATTATGAGATTAAGAATTGTCATGTGTCCTATTTTTTCTAAGTCAGGGAAAACAAACATACATGATTGATGGCAATGTTAATTGTTCAAGCCTTTCTAAAAGTGCTTTGGAAAAATGTTTAAAAGTCCCAGAAATATGTCATTCATTAATAATCACAATGTGTTGGGCAACACAGGTATTCACTGTAGCTATCTTCATAATTGGGAAAAGGTTGAGACAAGTTCATTGTGTAATAATGAGAGTAGTGGAATAATATTGGTAGATTGAAACAAAGAGATACTAGGCATCCTGTTGATAGTGCAATTGTGAGCAAAGCTGCCTTCCAAAGAGATACTATGTAGTCAGGAAAAGCCAGCAGACAATACAAAATAACACAAAAGATACAACATACTGATAAGAGGGCAATTTACAGAGTAATCATGCAGGATGCTGTCATTTAAACACATTTTTAAAATAGGTTATATATATTAATAATAAGATAATTATAAAGTCTATATATGAATGTTTATATTAATTGTTATTGTCTCCAGGGGAAAAGATGACAGCTTTGTCCCTCTTCTTTTTGCTTTATTATGGCTTGTAAAATATCTGCAATAAACATGTACTATTTTTTTTATACAAAAAAGGGTTAAGAAAATTAAAGAGTACATGGAATGTTCAGAATAGAATTTACATAAGTAGTAATAAACAATCAGCTGATGCCCTTATGGCTAAGTTTCTTTTCTTTCTTTCTTTCTTTTTTTTTTAGACAGGATCTTGCTCCGTTGCCTGGGCTAGAGTGCCATGGTGTCAGCCTAGCTCACAGCAACCTCGGCTCCTGGTCTGTAGGGATCCTCCTGCCTCAGTTTCCCGAGTAGCTGGGACTATAGAGATGCGCATCACCACTCCCGGCTAATTTTTTCTATTTTCAGTAGAGATGGGGTCTTACTCATTCTTGCTCAGGCTAGGGCAAGTTTCTTATAGGTGACATAAACTTGATTTCTTAAAAAAAAAGTAGTAAAAAGAGAATGTTAATTTATTTCCAAATATACAGCTTCCATTTTCCTGTTATATAGTATCTATGTGTATAGGCAGGTCTGGCAGCCAAAATAATTGATTGCTCAACTGCCTGCAAGTGCTTTCAAACTTATCCTTGAAGCTAATATTCAAGACACAGGAAGCCTCATTTATCATCTTTGGTGAGGATTGGCTTAGCTAGTTGTTGGTCAAGATAAGATAACTAAGAGATGAACTAACAAAGATAGATTAGTTGGGCAGAGGGTCAAATTTTACAATCATGTGTTTTAATTACTGTGAGGTGATAAACGGCCTTAAAGAGATAAACTCTAGTTGTACTGCCCTTTACTGTATTTCCCCATGGCCTTAAATGCATGCAAAATAGAAGGGAAAAAAAAGTCTTTCCTAACTTAAAAATAGGCCAATGGTTTAAAATGATTGTCGCATTGATAGGTTATGACTCCACTTAAAAAAAAAAGGCTTAAAAACAAACAAACAAACAAAAAACAAGCAGAAATCTTCCAAGTCTCCTGATGACTCAGCTGGAAATAAAAGGTGTGACCATCTTGGCAACAAGAGCATGAAACGCAAACATAGGGCAGCACATTAAATAAACACAGCCAGCTTCCCAAACAGGTAGAGAATGCTGAGATGCAGAGCTATCAAATCCCGTGCACCTTCAGAATACCACAAGCACTTTGCAGTAAGTAAAGGGCCTGGGTCATAGCTCCCCAAGACCACGCGAGTTTCTCTACCACTGTGTGTCCGACAATGAACATCACTTTAAACCACAAAACCTCCCCAAGGCCACCCAGTGCAAAATGGCTCCTCCGTTTCATTATCATTTTCTCTCGGCACAGATGAATTAAAATTTACATTTTTTCAAACAGATTATGAAGAAGTACTAAGCTGTGATATGTCATTAAAACAATAATGTTTAGAAGAGTTTCTTTTTGAAATTAAGATGTTATACTCTAGGAATTTTATGGTAAATAATTTAATCGAAGTGACAATCTACATGTAATTACTATTTTATATGAAAATATCCTAAGACCATATTTGTGATAAATTGTCTTAGATTACTACTCAAACCAAAGTCTGTAATACCATTTATGCTTTTTTATAAGATCAAACCATAAAATTTTAATACATTTCAGAAACAAGTTTCACCTTTTATCTTCATTTTAACATAAGAAGTGCAATTTCTAGTTTCCAGGACTCTATTTTTAAATGTACTACTATTATAGGGAAAAAAATATGTAAAAAGAGAAAGTACTTTTTAGTGAGTAGGTTTTGCTTAAGGGCATGTTTCTATATTAAAAATGAGAACAGTAATGGTAAGGTCATGAATTTTGAGTCACCCAGAATTTTAAATTACAGTAGTCTGATCCATATTCATAAAAGATTTGTTAAAAATAGGAGATGTAAGGTAAGTGTCAATTACTGGGCGTGAAGTAAACGACTTCCTTTAGCTCACCTAATAAAATAAAATTTAAAGGTTTACCATAAGATTTCAGTAGAGTCTCAGAGAGCCAGAGGACATCTAAGAAACTCTTGAGAAATATTTCTGAGGAAATGATATATTCACACAGAGCAATTCTAATGATAACATGCATTCATTTCCAAACATAAAATTCTATTTTCTGTTGCACGGTACCTATGCATGTGGGAGGGTCTGGCTGCCAATAGAACCGGTTATTCAGCTGCACACAGGTGATTTGGGCTTGTCCTTGGAGCTGATACCCAGGGTCGCACTGGAAGGTGACGGTGTCTCCAGCCTCCCGGCTGTCTCCGTAGCGGGTGCCGTTCTGGGGCATGCCCGGGTCGTTGCAGGTCGATGCGATGGAAGCTGCAAAGAAAAGACAGTGTCAGGTCAAATGACGGAAAACACAGCTTCTCCATGCAGGGAGGGGTAGTTACTCTTGTGCAGGGAAGCCCTCTTCACTGGCATAATAAATCATTTATCTACACATGAACACATGAAAATAATTTCTTTTCACAGGGATACATTAAATAGCATGCATCTTTGTTATGCTTACATTGAATAAATTCTACCAAACTGTCATTGACAATACAACTAGTTATGGACTATGTCAAGGCATGGTACCATGTTATACTTAGTCCACATGCATATATGGACATTGCCTTCTGATGTTCTCTTTAATGATATTTTAATGAAACCACATACTGCAAGTTAAATGAATGAAAAATAAACCAATCTCAAGGAACTTTGAGTAAAATAAAATAGGAAGAATTCCCTGAAGGACTATGCCTTCAAAGAGGAACAAATAATCTTCGTTGATGTCATAACATTAGCAGGCAGAGAGGAACGCCTGCTCAGTTTCAAGGAGGATTCCATAGGTCCCATAGGTGCTGTTGCCTTGGTAGAACCATTCACCCCTTTCACTCTCAAAAAAGTTCCAAGCTGGAGAGTAAATTATGTCACCACCCTCATATTAACAAAAAGCTCTGAAAATGATGCCCTGTCTTTTTGTGTATTATGTGTGCATATATATGTTATATGTGTGTATACATGTTATGTGTGTGCATATATGTGTGTGTATATATATGTTACGTGTGTTTATATGTTATGTGTGTGTTTATATATGTGTGTGTGTATACACACACACACACACACACACACATATATATATATATATATATATAAAACTTCAAATCAGCTGAGTAGAGGCCAGCGTCTGCAAAAGAGACTGGTCAGAGAGCTTTTGGAGGGTGCTGGAGCCTTGTAAACTTAGGCTCTGACAATCACGTGAAACTTCTCTTCATCAGTGGACCTAAAACCATGAGGCACAGGCGGCCACCAACCCTGCCTGTCCCTACTCCCTGAAGACCCCCTCAAGCCCAGAACTTTCGCCATAGTTCTAAACCCCACATCACCCTGAAATGGAACGACCTCAAGAAATAGTGGTTATTTTCTCCAATTTCTGTAACTGCCTTGTGTTACGTGTTATACTAAAACTGAGGAAGATCTAAAGCTAAGGAATCTTTTTTTTTCCATTTGTACTTTGGCTGAGCTCGCTCCTCTGCACGGCTGCTGTGTGCAGGGCTCCTGCGTGTCTACAGCGCCACGTTTCACGGGAGAGACGCAGAAGGAGGACAGGCACCTTGCCCCAGATACATGCCATCCCCCTGGCCGGCCTACTGCTTGCAGATTGAAGGTTAAGGAGTAGGTTTGAATTTTTTGTTGTTTTGTTTTATAGATTCTGGAGCATTGTTTTATATATACATATGGCTGGATACATGAAACCCATTTAAATAAAGGGTTAGGAGACGCAAAAAAGGAACAAGACCTGCTCTGAGCTACTGAGGGATTTTTAGCCTAATAGGGGAGGCAATGAACAGACAGCTCAGGAGAGAAGGAATGTTGCACTGTGCAGATTACAGGATCAAAGCCCCATTACAAAGCACCGCATGGTACAAACATCAAGGAGCCACGGCTGGGCAGACCTGCTTCCGGTCCCATTAGCACTTACTTAGTATTTAACGGTCACTTAAGCTTGCTGATCTTCAGCTAACCAATCAGTCAAAATGAGACTAATATCTAAGTTACAAAGTCTCTTGTGAAGAGGAAGTGTGAAGACCTGCTAACTCGCCTTGATTCTCTAAGCTAATTGAAGGCAGATGCTGCCTCAGTCACTCACTGTTTTTCTCTAATTGGTTTTTATGATGCATTGATATAGATACAAATGGGTCTCTGTAACCCAGTAAGAACTACAAAATGGCCATCTGTCTTACCAACTCTGATTAAGAAATAGAATATTTGCTAATACTCAATATTACACATATATTATCAATGTATATCGTTCCCCATCTCACCCTCTCCCTCCACTCTGGATGAAATTGCTTCCCTGGATTTCATGTTTATTGTCTTCCCTTCTTTCTTTTTGTATTTACTTATGTATCAGGGATTTTATTCCTGTGGGATGTAATTTCCAAATGGAGTTGCTGTATCAAAAAGTATGATAATTTTAATTATCGTGGATATGGTCAGTAGCAACTCTAACTGCAACCAGCATTGTACGGGTATGAGTTTTTCCACATTCGTTCTATCCCTAGGTATTATCACTTTCTTTAAATTCTTGATGGTATCATAAACTCAGCCTTCCAGCAATAGCATACAATGGGTCTTTCAAATGATTTTTGTGTGTCCTACTTTTTAGGATTGTCATTTCCAAACAGCGTGCAGTTAGATCGTTTTCTAAATTCAATCTAAAACTTCTCCTTAAATTGGAGGGTTTAATTCCTTATATTCATGAAACTTTCTGCTCTGTTTGGATGAATTTCGACCATCGTAGCTTGTGCTGTCTACATGCCCTTCCCTTTTTTCCTACCTATTTCTCCTTTCTTTGGTACTGATCAATTTCTATTTTCTCCTTCTTTTATTTTAATTGGTTTCATAGGAATTTTACCATGCTTCATTATAATATTCTTACCTTCTTCTCCAAAACCTTAGAAGACTTTATTTGTTTTTCCCTCCAGGTTTGCCCCATGTGGGGAAACCACCACAGCCACCAGGGGATTCCCCTGCGGAGGAAGGTGAAGACTTTGCTTTCCCTCCCTCCCTCCCTCCCTATTCACATGCTATTGCTGTTAAGTAGTTTAGCTATTGTTTTAAAATCCTTCATTATGTACTGTTACTATTTGTTTTTTCACCTGGAAACAGAGTTCTCAGTGGACAGCAAGAGGACAGTACTTGGGTTTCAGAGAAGGTTTTTCAACAGGAAGAGAGCAGGAAATGTCATCTAAGAATCACGGGAGGGAGGTGGTTCTGTTTTCATACTTTCTTCCCACCAGCTTCGAAGGCTGCAAGACGAGGCTAAAATCCAAGTGCATCCGCCTCAAGAGAAGACTGGGGTGGCAGTGGACGGATTTGCAGGTACAAAGCTCATAGCTGGAAAGCCATGAATGTCCTACCCATAAGGCACAGATTTTTATGGAACAGAACAGCAATCACAGAATTCAACCCCCAACACCAAAGCGGCTCTCACATGGAGCCAGGATCTCACTTGCCATCTTGATTTACTCTTTGAGTAATGTTCCTGCAGAATTCACAATCTTCCTGTGTTTTACCCTCACTGAGATTTCTTGGGGCTTCAGAAAAACAATCATGAGCCAATTCTATCATACGTTTAATCTCACCCATTGTACTGAACGTCACATCCCCAAAGGAAATTTCACCCTTTCCTCAGGCAAGTGGTCAGAGGTATGATCAAGTATTAATGTCCAAGTGACAATTTCTGCACAGTTTATACAAAGTAAAATGATTTAAAAATAAATATAGAGTTAAAAATAGTTATGATAAAGTGATATTTGTAGTAAACACAGCACTATTTATATAACAAAATGAATATTATACCATATTACACTAATTTAAAAATAAAAGTTTAGAAGGTAGGAGATCGTGGATGAGACTCTTACTACAATTTTAAAAATCATGAGATTCTTTTTGTTACTATTTTTCTGTCCCAAGTTTTGTTCAATATTTATTAAAAGCTGAGATACTTGAAACCCAATACAGGAGCTTCACACAAAAGCGCTCAGGTCTGGTGTGTGAACGAGCATCTCGACAGACACCAGACGCATCAGCCATGCAAAGACAAGGTCTGGGGACACTGTGCTGGGAGTTAATAGGCTATTTCCAGTGAGATCGCAGATCCTGTGGGCTCGGCAACTCTCTCGGAGGTTTCCATCGCACGCCAGGGATTAGGGGCTCAGAGCTGTCTTACGTACGGCGAAGAAACTTGTTAAAATTTTGTTTAATCCAGCACATCCTACACTTATGTAATTATAGAGCACATTTTCCCCAGAAACCTCTACTTCTAAACCAAATTTTCACTTGGAACATCTAAATAATAACAATAAAGTGTGCAACCAAGGAGCTGGGTGTTCATGAAGCTCCTGTTGCATAATGAACAGAAACACTGCACCCACGTGATTAGCTGAAGCGTGTCCGTCACGAAGTGAGAACTGGGGTGAGGTGGTTCCACTCGTACTCAGAGCTGATGTCCATGTTCACTTCGCATATCTCAAAAGCTGCTCAAGATGATCTGTAAGTCAATCAGCCACTAAGGCTTACTCAGAGTGAAATGAGCCCCTAACCTTCACACTTTCCTTCCAGAATCACAGATAAGAAGTTCCTAGGGTTATCCAGACTGGATTAAAAGAGCAACCAGAAGGCTCAAGGAAGGAAAAAGGAAACAAGTTTTAAAATGCAATGGGAAACCATCAGCTGGTCTTTGAAATAAATTTCATTGTATTCTCCTCTCGTTACGAATGGTGGGAGGATGTTCCAGGTGACAGCTCGGACTCGGACGCCAACGCCCCACCCAGAGACGTTGCTCCTGTCAGAGGTGGCCCTTCTGCCTTCAGGGTCATCCCAGAACTGCCCTTGAAGCAAGTTCTCATTTCCCTTTTAAGACCGTATTCTTATATGTGCCATGACATACATTTTGCTCCTTACTTTCTTAAACATATATATTTTTTTTGCAAATGGGATTTTGGGGACTCTGAAGCCTTCCAGCTTCTTGCCATAAAAAAGAAAACGATATTTTTAGTTGCATCAGTCTTATCCCTCTGCTACCGTAGAGAAAGGCAGCTCTGCTCCCGAGGTGATGGATAGGGTGTTTTCCAATTTCCCCAGGGGCTCCCAGAATATTTCAAGTCACAGAGGCACTTTCCACAGTCCATGAATACATGAGGGGACATCTCCACGCCCCGGCCAGCCGCAGCTGGAACTGCCCGTTGCTGGAGCAAACTAGATGCGGCTCCACTTCCAGGAAGGGATGGCTCCAACTCTGCCTCCCGCAGTTCGGACAGTGTGGGAGGACA